GGATGGCAGTTCACTGGGTATCCCGCCCCGGGGGGCTGAGGGCTTCCTCCTTCCCTCCGCGGTGTGGAGCTCGTGTCCCTGGGGACTGAGAGCTTCCCCTCCCCTCCCCTCCGTGGTGGGGAGCCTGAGTCCCCGGGGGCTGAGAGCTTCTTCATCCCTGGGTGGCATGGAGCCCGTGACCCCTGGGAACTGGGGATTTTCATCTCACCTGGTGATGTGGAGCCCATGACCCCTGGGAACTGGGGATTTTCATCTCACCCGGTGATATGGAGCCTGTCACCCCTGGGAACTGGGGATTTTCATCTCTCCTGGTGATGTGGAGCCTGTGACCTCTGTGGGCTGAGAGCTTTCCCCTCCTGGGTGAGGGAGGCCAGTGCTCCACAGGGGTGAGAGCTTCCCCACTGTACCCCACAGGGCCCAGGGGGCTTTGCTCTGCTCGGTGATTGTGCCTCTCCCCCTGTCCCTGAGGACAGTCCCAGCCCTGATCCCTGGAGTGGCTGAGGGCTCCACTGATGAGCTGAGCAGAGCATAGTTTCACCCAATAGTGTTGGGTGAAAGGGAATTAGATGTGTCTGCTGAGAAATTGCTCAGCAGATCACTGGGTTATCCTTTGCTGTGTTATGTCACTTGTCCCAGTGTCAGTTTTAAGACAACATGACCCAGCACTTTCCTGCCATTGACATGGTCACACAAAAACCCTTATATTCATTCTTACCATTCAAAGTGCAGGGAATTGGTGCTGCTTCACAATCATCTCCTTGATAAACAAACAGGGCACAAAGAGCACAACCCTTTCCCTTTGACACCATATTCAGCTGTTTGTTTATGGTGTGTGTGTGAGCTGTGCCTCAGACACACTAATTGTGGTTTCTCTTTTGGTAGCAACTGCTTGTTTCGGGCCCTTGGTGACCAACTCGAGGGACACTCACGGAACCACCTGAGGCATCGGCAGGAAACAGTGGATTACATGGTAAAGCAGAGAGAGGACTTTGAGCCCTTCGTGGAGGATGATGTGCCCTTTGAGAAGCATGGTATGGCCACCCAGGGGAGGGGTCACATCTCCTCAAAGCACCTTCTTACTAACCAGTTCCTCATCCCAGAGCTGTTAGGGCTCCTCTAGTTTTTAGAACAGTGAGTTTACACTTCTGTTTCTTTCTAGAAAGATGAACTGTTAAACGCATGTTGAGTTTGTCTTGGAAGTTGTTTAAATTTTGGAGAAACTTGGATAAGGAGAGACAAAAGGGAAGGAGGAAAAATTTGGTGTTTTCAAAAGCAACTTAACAAAAATTGTCTGTCCTTGGATACTGATGGTATTTGGCTCTTTTGGTACATGGTTGCTTTCTGTGGGTTTCTTTCCCCTTGGCACTTGATATTTCATACTGATATCTCAGGGGAAGATCCAAAGCAGAGGTGAATACAGCCTTTGTTCCACCAGCTTTGAGATGTGCCAGGTGATATATGAAAGTGGCTTGGTCACTCAGTACGTGGCACTCTTCCTTCTGAGCTAACAGAGCCAGAGGCCTTGCTTCATCTAAGGGTGATCTGCCTTTTTGAGAGATTTCTGTGTTCATTTAAATGCTTTAACCTGTGTTGCTGCCAAATTCTTGCTCAGCAGTCACTGTTTCACAGGTGGGATTTCCCCTCCAGAATTTCTTGGGCTTGTGTTGAAATTTCACTAGTTCTCCTTCCAGTGTATTTTGGAAGTGTCAGAAATTAGGATTCCAACTCTTGTGAATGTTTTTTCCTTCAGTTACCAATCTGGCCAAGCCTGGTACCTTTGCTGGCAATGATGCTATTGTGGCCTTTGCAAGGAACAACCAAATGAATGTGGTTATTCACCAGCTTAATGCTCCACTGTGGCAGGTGAGACACAAACCTTCTGCATTTTGCCCTCATTTTCAGCTGATGAATACAAATAGTGTGGAAACTTCCTGACCTACTGAAAAAGAGCAGTAGCTGTAGCTAGCTAGGCATGGTACAGAGCTGTGCTTGCTTTTCAGCCTTGGGGGAAAACACTCCAGATTTTGGCTAGGAGGAGAGGGAATGAAAATAAACAGTGAATGCATGAAAGATAAGTATGTGGGGGCAGAGCAGCATGTTTTAGTTTGCTTTTAAGCTATGAGCTTCAGTGCCCTGTTTCTGTCTCCTGAAGATTAGCCTACATCTGAGGTGACTTTTCTGATAGAATGGGTCAAACTGGAAGAGACCATTGTAGCTCATCTGCTTCCACCTCCCTGCTCAAGCAGGGTCAGCCCAGAGCACATGGCACAGGATGGAGAAATGAGGCTGTAAAAGAAGTTTTAGAATCTTAAGGTGGTGTTTAATCAGCTCCTGGAAAGGACTGTAGTTTGCTCTGACAGCAGAGCACTGGAACAAGCAATCCATTAGGTCACTCCTTCTCTCTTTTTGTTGCTTGTCCATGACAAGTCCACACTGGAATGGGTCCATGTTTGGCCTCTGCCTGGTCATTGAGCAAGTGAGAACCTGTACCCAAGTACAGGTTCAGGGGTGTTTCTGGCCCCAATTAACAGACAGAACCAATGAAGTCTATAGATTAAATGGGGCAATAAAGATAAAAGACCAGATGAAAGCTGTCAGTGACGTCGTGGACAAATTTAAAACAACGTCAAGTGGATTCCTGAACCCAAACAAGTTTAAACTCATTTACAGGAAGCCATGGGCAGTAGGACAGGTAACTGAAGTGCTTGTGCAGAGGTAGTGACCCTGCAGGAGAGGTCATGGGGAGGCTTTCCATGCTGTGTTCCTCAGTGTGCTTAACTCACTGGTATTCTATATAGCCTCTTGAAAACTCAGTTCCCTCAATCTCTTTTCGTTGATCATTTTCGAGTGTAAACACAGAGTTTGTGGTGAGATTCTGCTTGTTAATGAAGGGTTGTCTCATGGTGTGATTCTTGGAGTGTCCTGTGCAGGGCCAAGAGTTGGACTCGATGATCCTTGTGGGTCCCTCCAAACTCAGGATATTCTGTGATGCTGTGATTGTGTCTCAGGCTCTTGGAAATGCTGTTAACTAAAGAGAACTGTGAATAGTTACAACGTAATGAAAAGCTCTTTGCAGGTGGCATCTCTGCATGCAATTTTTAGGGCTTTACACACCCTCTGCCTTTTCTGATAATGACAGTAAATCATAAAATGGTTTGGGTTGGAAGGATCTTAAAGCTCATCCAGTTCCACCCCCTGCCATGGGCAGGGACACCTCCCACTAGCCCCGGTTCTCCAAGACCCATCCAACCTGGCCTGGAACACTTCCAGGGATGGGGCAGCCACAGCCTCTCTGGGCAACCTGTGCCAGTGCCTCAGCACCCTCAAAGGGAAGGATTTCTCCCCATATCCCATCGAACCCTGCCCTCTGGCAGTGTGAAGCCATTCCCCCTCGTCCTGTTGCTCCAGGCCCTTGGCCGAAGTCTCTCTCCATTTTTCCTGTTGGCTCCCTCCAGGTACTTGAAGGCCACAATTAGGTCACCCCAAAGCTTCTCCAGGCTGAGCAATCCCAGTTTCCTCAGCCTTTCCTCATAGCAGAGGTGCTCCAGACCCCTGATCACTTTGGTGCTTCCTCTGGGCTTACTCCAGAGTGGAAAGAGACTTCACTACTGAGAGCTAAATTGGCTAATTTTCAGAATAATTTGGGAACTGTTGGATACATGTTCAAGGTCTGGCAGAGGAGAAACATTGCAAATAAATCTTAGTGAATTCCAACATGTCAAATAGGATAAAAAGCAGGAGTTAAGCATAACCAAGTGTTGAGTTGGAACCTAAAGGTAACATAGATGAATGGAGAATATTTGCTGGGAAACCTGAAGTCATTAGTGCAGACACAGTTGAAAGGTGATTTTGTGTATGGTCTGGAGGTTGAGATAAGGCAATTCCCAGACGTAAAAGGGTTGGGAAACTGTGGAGCCCTAAGGTAAGCAGTTCTGTCCTTTGCTCACTGACGTCTGCTCCAGGAGAGCTTTTGACCCCAGGCTGATAGGTGAGGACAGGAGGTCTGCAAGTGCAGGGGAAATTCTGCATTCCTGACAGGAGTTGGAGTGCTGTGTAGCTCTTAACTAATAGTTTGAGACACTGGTGATCAAGGTAGAAATATTTGTGCATCAGTACAGATAACACTCAGGGCAGGAATTTTCTGTGGAAACTGCTGACAAAGCAAAGAGCAAAGGAGCTGTTGGTGCTCCTGATGGAGTTAATACATTTCCATGGACTGACTTTCTTTTAAAACCAAAGCACAGCCACTTGGAATGCTGTTAAAACAGCATCATGTACCAGCTGCAGATCAAAACTCACTCTGGGGGACTGTTTCCACTGTTGTCATCACTGGAATGGACTCTCTTTCCTCATATTTGAGGGGAATATGACACTCTACATTCTCTGGGAGCTGTTGCTGCCGTTGGATCTGGGAAGATGATCAGAAGACTGAGAGCTCCAGCAGAAAGTTTAGGAAATAGCTGTGAGCTTTCCACAGAAATATTCTCCTACCACATTTTGTTTGTGCTGATGTCACTGCCCCACATTGTGTGTCTGGCTCAGACCTCCTTGAGGCAGGAGCTCTGTTGTTGCTGTAGGCACAGCTGGATTTTGAGGTCAACCCTTCCTGTTTAAAACACATCAGTAGTTGCATACTTTGCTTCCATCGTGGTGCTGATCATTGCTTCAGAAAAATAACACTTCAATCAACAGCTAAAGTCAATTCCAAATCCTCACTTGCAGTTAATTTCTCCCCTGTAGATTCGAGGCACAGACAAGGACAACGTGAGGGAGCTGCACATTGCCTATCGTTATGGAGAACACTACGACAGCGTGAGGAGAATCAACGACGACTCGGAGGCTCCAGCATATCTTCAGATGGAGGTTGGTTGGGCCACAGTGAGCCAGGTCAGCTGAGGGTGAGAAATAAAGCTGATGGATGTTGCCAGTTGATGACCTTTCTCATTTGCTTGGAGATTGAGGGATCCCTGTGTCATGCTGGGATACTCAGAGCTCCTGCTGGCAGCTCTCCTGAGACAAACTGTGAAGGGTTTCAGTTTCTGGGCTGAAAATCAATCCCAAACCTGGTGCTGTGCTTTGGACTGTCTGGAAGCAACTTCTTCCGAGTTACATAATCGTGCACCTCAAATGGAAAAACAAAGGGAAGGGAGGAAAGAGCTGGAAATGCAACAGCTGGAGGCAGTTGGCCTGTTCACAGCTCCCTTGTTCGTGTTAAGGAGTAATTGTGCTGTGCCTGAGGTTCTCTGCACACAGCTGGATGATGTGTGGTATTGGGATCAAGTTAATCCTTCCATTTAAAAGCTTGTTTATTGGCATTCAGGATGTTGTGGTACGTAGGATCTTGTCCAGTAGTGCAGGAGACAGCACATAGGATCTTGTCCAGTAGTGCAGGAGACAGGGAAACTGTGTCAGTGACCATGGAAGTTACACAGTTTCCAAGAAGCTTTGACACAGGATGTTTCTGGGGAAAGTGTGCCATAATAATTACATTTATGAGGGTGTCAGATTGGTTTTGATTGCATGTTGTGTGGTCTGTTGGGCTTTGCTTTCTTCAGATGCTTTGCAAAAATGATGCCAATAAGGCAGAGGAAGGGAAGGCACAGAAAGGTGACTCTGAAGATGAGACTGAAGTGGAAATGGAAGAGGCTGTACAAAAAGTGTGCAATGCAACTGGGTGTTCAGTAAGTATTGAGAAGCCTTTTTGTGCTTAATGTTCAAACTTCCTTGGTACATCAAAGGAGTCTTGGGAAAAAGTCTAAAAAAATACTTGTTTTGGACAATTTCAGTACCACAGCCCTTAATCAGGATGGATTTCCTATGGATTTCATCCTAGACTCAACCCTCAAATGCAGATGAAATCCTTACTCTGTGTGGATACCTAATAATTTTGGAAGGTTTGTCTTGCAGCTCGCAGAGAATTCCCTTGGAAACAAATCCTGTAAGACCTGAACTGCTTTGAGTCTGTCTGTAGTTGAACCTCCCAACTGACAGGACAATCTGTGACTTGGCTGTTGTCACTGTGCCAATACCTAGAACAGAAAGGGCCAAGAGTGAAAGTTCTGCTGAAACAGCACATTGCTTTTTCCTGATACCTTCAGGAATTTAAGGTTTTCTGCACTAGCTGTTTCAGAAATGAAGCACAGACTGAGAAGCCTCTCACTGGTGCAGGTGGTTGTTAGGTGAATGTATGTCAGAGGGGTGAACTTCTTCAGTGTTCTCTTTCTCCTCCTGTGGACAGGACACTGATTTAGTGAGCCACATTCTGGAAGAGGAGGGGTACAACGTGGAATCTGCAATATCTGCCATCTTGCAAGTGAAGGAAGTGGAAGGAGTTGGTAAGTGCACAGTGTTTGTCACCTGAGGCTTCAGGTGAGCTCTGCCTGACCTCCCTGTTCACTGGGGACAGCAGCAGCACAGTTGAAATTTGCTGTTGTATGCTGCCACCTCATCTTTCCTGTGCTCAGGAAGGTTGTTAGTGAGGGCACCTCAAATCCAGCTTCCAAAAAAACCCCCACTGTTCCAGAAACTCTGGAAGAAAGAATTGGCTGACAGTGAGACAGCTCTGGGTAAGTGTGTTTGTGTTGTTGGCAGGGAGTGAGGAGCAGCATGAGCCCCAGAGCATGGATCAGAGATCCTGCAGAACACTGTGGGAGGAAGATGGAAGTGGTTCAAGGATCTTTGGAAATCAGAACTTGCATCAAGGTGAAACAGAAAACACCAAAGGACAGGCCAGGTGTGACACAGAGAACCGAAGCAGCAGGAACCCAAAGGTATGTGAGTACCCTTTAGTGATGAGGGGAGTGCTCAGCATTGATTAATCAGCAACTCTCTTCTTTCAATTAAAAAGAGCTTCTGCTCACTGCACTTTTTCACTGCTGCAGATGTGACTTCTCTGGCACAAACATTTCCTAGTGACAAAACGACACAAAGTCCTGATAAATAGCTTGGAATAAACATTCTCTGGCAGCTGCTTTGATATCTCCTTGTCTCCTCTCCAGTGGATTACTTTTCCTCTACTGGTGTTTTCAACTTTGTGCTTTCATTCTTTCCTTCCAGGTAGCTAAGAAACAAAAGAAGGAGCAGCAGCGACTCGAGAAGAAGAAGCGGCAGGAGGAGAGACACCGACAGAAGGTCTTGGCCACCAAGAGTAACTGTGCAGAGAGCAGCAGGACAGAGACTGAGCCAAGCAGCCACATCACCTTGGTGAAGACCATGGCAGCCCTGAATATATGACTCAATGTGTGCTGAGTGCTTTGGTGAGGAAAGCAAATAAAACTGCTGGAGACAGAATTCCCCATGAGCCAATTTCCAGGCACACACTGTTACCTCCAGCTCTGTTTCTGCAGAGATTTCCAAGCACAAGAGAACTTCTGTTTCATCAGCTGTGGGGAGGACAATCACTCGGTGACCTCTGTGTGTGAAGAGCTGTTTGAAACAAAAACTCTACTCAAAAACTAGAGAGTTGGGTTTATAATTTCAGAGTTAGATGAAGGTGAGAAGCTTTTCTTCCCCCAGCAATGTCAGATTTGCTTTGACATCTCTGGATGTGCCTGGATTTATTTTTTCTCACTTGGTTATGCTTGGAGGAGCTTTATTTTCCCTTGCTGTCAGGGAAAGCTTAACAAATCTCAACTCAGGAACATGTTTGGTAGGGTTTTTTTTTTTCTATTTAGATTTAAATAAAGGCAGGGAAGAGGCCCAGAATCATTTCCAAAGCAAAGTGAGTCAGCCATGTGTGTATCAAACATGACATTCCTCTTGCTTTGCCAAGCAG